GTGAGTGATGGACCGCTAGCCGGAGCAATGGCGTGCAGTAAGTGATGGACAGGGATCAGTGAGTGATGTACTGGGGACCGCTAGCCGGAGCGATGGTGTGCAGTAAGTGATGGACCGGGAACGGCGAGTAATGGATCGGGACCGGTGAGTGATGTACCGGGAGTGCTAAGTGTTGGACTGGGAGCTTTCAGTGGTGGATCAGGAACGGGAATATTTATATGGAGGACCTAAATATTTTCATAAACTTACCTGAAGTATGTGAAAATGAATAAAGCCACTGACACAACTACAAAAGAAACAATGAAACCCATCACTTCTATGATGCGTGAGTACAGGTCAATTGTGATTTTGCGCTGAAACAATAATGTTAAATAACATATTTATATTGATACTAGTGGGTGCCAGCTAATCCATTCGCGTAGTTTAATTGATTTACCATACAAACTTCCACCCACCCTCCTTTTCATCCTTTTTGATTTGATTTTTAAGGGAGTGAAAACAGAGCTTGGAGTTTGTATGGGAATTATTATAAATTAATGTATAAATATGTTGTACCTTGACGTCCATTTCTGTCGACATCTCACTACAGGCAAATTTCTGCGCTATCTGAGGAGCATACAAGCATTCAATGCAACATTTTAATGCTATTTTCCAAACTGCTCCAGTTATAGTAATAAGTTGAAAAATGCCTGCAAACTTCTACATGTGACGAGGAGTACGAGTTTTTTTTCTCTTTTTTCTTTTCTTTTCTTATCTTTTCTTTTTTTTAGTTCCAACGCTTTACAGCCTTGAGATACAACAGAATAATTCCATCACCAAGTCCCAAGCATTTTTTTTTAAAATCAAATAATAAAGATCATCGTCATCATCAGCCTATTAATGTCCTCACTGCTGGGGCTCAGGCCTTCCCTATGGATAGAATAGGGAGATTGGGCCATGACCCACCACGTGGGCCAAGTGCGATTTGGTGGGTGCTAACGACTGCAGATGCAGCCGGGACCAACCGCTTAACGTGCCTTCCGAAGCACGGAGGAGCTCGCGATATTAAATTTTTGGTCACCCATCCAATGACCGACCACTACGAAAGTTGCTTAACTTCAACGATTGTAGCCGAACGAGCTAACCACCTGCACAATCGAGCTACTTTGCGCCATCGAGCTACTCAATAATTAAGATAGTTTTTTAAAATTCTAGATACTCACCAGAAGGATTTGTAGGACAGTCTTGGAAAGATACCCCTCCTACAGGAGAGGACCTCCAGTACAATATCAAGTCAAAATAAGGCTGACAGTATTTCACACCTGCAACAAACGGCTCTGTTAGTTAAGTAGTAATTGGTAATATACCTATTTGTGCTACAAATTGACGACCTCCGTTGCCGAGGGTTCAAGGTGTCGCCTACCCGAGAGGTCCCGGGTTTGAATCCCGGTGGGGGCTGATGTTTGCGTGATAAATACGAGCATTTGTACTCCAGTCATGGATGTTTAATATACATTTCTATATAAATATACTTATTTAAGTATGCAGTATATGCATTCTGTCCGTTACCCTAGCATCCCATAACTACAATGCTTACTTTGGGGCTAGGCTAAATAGTGTGTGTTGTAAAAAAAAGTTCAAATCAGAGCCACTAGATTACGTTTGTGTAACTGTATATCACACATAAAAATATCATCATCATTAGCCTATTAATGTTCCCACTGCTGGGACACAGGCCTTCCCTATGGATGGAATAGGGAGATTGGGCCATGACTCACCACGCGGGCCCAGTGCGGATTGGTGGGTGCTAAAGACTGCAGATGCAGCCGGGACCAACGGCTTAAAGTGCCTTCCGAAGCACGGAGGAGCTCGAGATAGTAAGTTTTGGTCACCTATCCAATGACCGACCACTGCGAAAGTTGCTAAATTTCAACGATCACAGCGGAGCTCCTCCTCTTGAAAATATGCTAAAGATTAAGTACTTTTTTGCGATAAAATTATCCCTTTAAAGGTATTACCAAAACCAAACCAAAAAATACCAAATCCAATCTTCCAGGTTGGCTCTTTTGTTTAATTCCTGTGAAGGTATTATTAAAAGTAGTCAAGGTATAAATTACAGCTCCATCTAAGCACCGGAGTTCTTAAATGAAGTTGATAAGAAGATCATGTTTATGCTGTATTCCATCACTTTGCAATGAGGGCTACCGTTTTCTGCCTCACCAGATGGCGCCACTGTTGAGTGAGGTCACAAATTGTAACTTTTGAAGTTTATTAATACGCACATGAAATCAAAGGTTACATTTAGATCGTATTTTAACACAAAAGAACCATATCCTAAACATAATAGGCCATGCCACAGTGACGCGCAGTTCCGTTTTATTCGGAAAAAATGGGAACATAATCATTTTTCTAAGCTCAAATTTTTAATAACTGACATTCATTGCCACATAACTCATATTTGCCATAATTAAGCCGAATTGTTACCAATTATTCACAACATTATTTTAATAAGAAATAAACCCGCGTAGTCAACCAACAAGCAATAACATTTGACATTTCGGAGACCTCACGCTACATTAGCGCCTCTAGCGGCGGATTCATACGCGATAGCCCTCATTGAAAGATGTAATTGACAGGGTTGATGAGATGATGACTTCTGCATTGAATTAAGAATGTTAGTGCAGCGGCCAATATTAGTATTTGCAAAAAGTGGCAATTATATCCTTACACTCTTTGCTAAATTGGTCTAAAGAAATGCTAAATTGCGAAGGGTGCGGGTTCGAGTCCCGTCCGCTGCCTGGTTCGCGTGGATTTTTTTCTAGTAAAACTTTTCTTTAGATTTAAACATCTAGCAGTTAAATGCTTAAAAAAACATAGCCCTAACTGCTATTTCTTCTTTCAAATGTTTAATACTTGAAAAAGTATTCGTTTGACATTGTGGGTTACCTACAATGCGAAGAGATGGTGCTGCCTTGCAGCCATAGAGTAACTTTGTATATCTTGCAGCTTAAGGCTAGGAAAATTTCGACGCGGCCATCAGGGCCGTGGTAGCATAATTGGTTGGATTTTTTTCTAGTTAAACTTTTCTTTAGATTTAAACATCTAGCAGTTAAATGCTTAAGAGAACATGATCTAAAGACATTAATGAGTCATAATGGGCATAGGATGCTTCTACTTCTGACCGCGTGGTTGTTGTCACATGTTTACTTTCATCATCAGCCTATTAATGTCCCCACTGCTGGGGCACAGGCCTTCCCTATGGATGGAATAGGGAGACAATGATGTCGATTCTGGCATGATTCTCTAAACCTAAACTTAAATTTGACAACAGTGCATCCTTGTCCTTCTCTATACAGAATGAAAAGGTGAGACTGACCTTTAATTTAGTTTTAAGTTTAGAGATGCACGCCAGAATTGACACCAATGTTTACTTTAACATGAACTAATTATAGATTTATGCCTTTATTAAAATCTAAATTTTTTTGCTCCATATTATACTAAAGTGCCTCATGGTGTACAAATATGGGTACGGAACCCTTCTTGCGCCATCAGAGGGTCGCAAAATATAGGTATATTTTGCGACCCTCTGATGTCCACTTTAAGCACGGTAATAATATTATACAGTATTCTATCTTCATACAAACGGTCGGAAAGCGAGTCATACCTACGCCACTCGAGTTCGATGTGCTCTCGGCGTGCACCCAGTCGCGAATGCGCCGCCGCGCCGCAACGACGACCGAACGGTTTGAATTGTTTTTTATGCAGTTAGCCGTGCTTAAACATGCGTTTTGTATTGTAAATATTTGATTTAATTAAGTAGATACCTACATAATTTAGTATGGAAAAGAACAAACGACGCTGTTTTTGGTTGCTTGAACTCTTCAATAACACACCCAGAGATATCATTTTTTAAATTACCTGAAATATTGGAAAGGTGTCTTACCTTTATAGAATATTTTTTATATACCTATCTACTAGTACGTTATTTGTTTCTAATATTTAGGTATTTCGGTTTTTCCATCGGGCAAAATATCTGGAATAATATATAAATAAGTGGTTAGGATGAAAAAAGAGACAAACGAGTAATCTACCTACACTCGCGTTAAAAACAAAACTACATAAAATACTGAAGGCTGGCGGCCCTACCGCGTGCCAACGCAGCGTTCGGTGTAGGCATTTATTTTCAAGGACAGGGCGGAGTCACAATACTGTATAGATAATATTACCGTGCTTTAAGTTTAGGTCTTTCGCCACCACAACGATGCATTACCAGTGGCACTACGTGCCAGGCAACTGTGCGTTATGAGTAACGATCGATATTCAATTATATGTACGTGGTGTCTTTGAAAACTTATGGATTATGTATTTTAGGTTCTCTTTCATGTTGATGTATTATGATTTGATCCTAAAATACATAATCCATCAGCAATTAAAGAGAAACAGTTTATGTTCTTATATCAATAAGAACATGACACGTACATATAATAGGGGTGATTCAGTAGTGATTTAACTTGGATATTTTGATTATTTATTTAATTTTTCAAATTAAAACTGCACTTTATTGACTGTATTGACTATCCTTTTCCAGTCTTTTTATTATTTTATTGTAATTATTTGCATGCAACTAAAAACTAATTTTTAATGTAGCCAAAGAAGTATGACTTCTCACACGCGTAGTACACGCACTCATTTTTTTATACAGCATTCAAATTGCTGTACTTAATATACTTTAAAGATTTGTGATAATGCCTGCACTCTTTGTAGGTCTTAAATTACATTAAATGTGATCTACAATATGACCGATAAATTTTATCGGTCATATTGTAGATCCCTGGGGCATTGGACGGAGGATTGAGTCCAGTTCGGGAATCACTGCTGTAAGTGAACTTCCTAGGTGACGACCAACGATACCGTACGGTTTTAAACCAATAATCATCAATTTCCTTTATCAATGAACTTCCTTTATAAAATTAAGCGTCGTGATCAAATAAAATAATATTACGTTTCCATTGAGCGGTATTGCGGTAACCTGCCTGAAGCGGTAACCAAGCTACCAAGTTACCATGGTTATAAGTTTGTTATCTTAAAATTACAAGATCGCTCTCCTGCTAGTGTTTCTAGGTAGAAATTGGAAAGAAATAGTTATAAAGTGATATATTTTTAGGCTTGGTGTGATTTATAATCACGATACATTGTAACAATTATAATCAATCTATTCTTGTAGATGAAATATTATAAAAGGTAAGTGTGTGATCACGGACCTGGTCCGTGTGTGTGATATATTTGATAAGTTTTTGTTTCGAATCAGAACCTTTGTCAGAAACAAAAAGGGAAGACACGGCACTCGCCCCACAAAAGTGATCCGCTTAAATTGTGTTGCATGACCACAATTCGCTTTAGTCTCAATTGGACATTAAAACACGCTGCATATGCATTCAATATAACAATATTGCGTCACTATGTATATTCTGTGTTATAAAGATAAAACAATGCCTTCGATGCTTTTTTGAAGAACAAAAATAGTTCAAGATTAAATAACAATTGTCCATAAACATGTTTTTTCTCAAAAATCACGGTTTGTCGTGAATTTTATTTACATTATCTGCATTTGTTATCAAGAAAAGGACAACAATACAGCTCAGCCATTTGCAGAGAGATAAAAGAAAACGCGGACTAGCCGTTTCGCTCGCGCTGCGTTGACGCGTACAGTCACGATAGATAATATTACCGTGGTACAGTACTGTCTCGCTCGCTCGATTGAATGTTTATGTGCAGAAGTGTGCGTGCGTGAGAGGTACCGATTCAAATAAGAATAGGAAAGCCAATGACCTCCATCTGTCAAATGTCGCCTGAAAAGTACGGTTTGCAAAAAATCTCGGAACACTTTAGCTTACACTTACTCAGCTGATTCTAGAATAAAAACCAAACGTATTTAAACAAACAATAACAAATGTTGATAAATAATATTAGTTGCTTTTTTTTCATTTATTTAGCTTTGGCTATGAATGGTTGATAACCTAAATCGTCAACCAAATGTCACTTTATGTTGCGTTCAGAAACTCGATTTAAAACTTTCGTTTACATATAGGATGCATGTTCGTATGTGACCTGCATGATTATTCATAACTTCTCCAGCGGTAATGCAGAGTTCAGCGAAATTGAAGAACTAGATTCTTATTAATGTTTTTTTTTTCACACAGTATTAATATAGAAATACTATTAAAAATCGATTTTGTTCTTTCTCAACCTTAGTAAATTAATTTTGTTAAAAAATCTGATGTTTTGTCTCGCTTAATCTTAGTAAATAAGTTTCATTAAATAGCAACAATTTTTTACTCACTCTACCTATTTGGTTTGAATTGACAGCTATGACGTCAAAATTTGGCGCCCAGTCGATCCTGTTCTTAGTTGAATCGCATTAAATAGTCAAACTATAGTTTGTAGTTTAGCCGGAGCATATTTAATTAGATGCTAGTATGAGCGTACCGTATCTTCCCTTTTTGTTTTAATCTAAAGTCAGAACATTTATTTTACGTACTTTTATTTACAAAATAAAAATGTTTAAAGAATTTATAAAAATGGATGAGGAGCCGGCGAGCTTGGACAGCCAGTTTGTTGAGTTCACGAAGCTCATGGACACGAAGCGGGACGGCAGCACCATCACCCTGTACCGGTCGGACTACTGGATGCGCCAAAGCAAGATTCTCGACGACAGAAGAGTCACCATGACCGACACTGGGATCTTGTGGTGGAAGTTCTGGTACGCGTTCTTTTTTTATGTTAAACGACTGGCAAATGAGCGTATTCTCGCGGTGGCAAATATTATATATACTCGCTTTATTGTAAACGGCCACCAATAGACATTTGCGATACAAAAAATACCACACCGTAGCGTATAATCTACGTTACGTATCTGCAACCATTTATAATCGCGGTCACTGGTGCATCGGCTGCGGAGAGGTTGTAACCGAGTCCTGAGTATGTTAGGAAATAGAATGGACTCGGTCTGCTCGGTCATTTCATCAAACTACATGCTTGGTGACCAGGCCGAAGGGAGGGTGCAGAAAAATTTATAAATTTTAATTATTTAAATTTTATTTATTTATTTTGACTGTTTATTTTATTGAATGATGATTGAAATTAAAATGAAATACTTACATAGGTTAAGAAAATTGATAGTGATATATATGAGACCATGTCTTGTAATAAAGAGTTTTTTTTTATTATAATTTCGTGATGAATGTGTTGCACCTTTGATGCTCTGCCGCCCCTACAAGCTAGAAGCGTCTATGGAGAAAGATACTCGACGTCAGAAAAGTAACCATGACGGACACTAGGGTGTTATAGTGAAAGATTCGATCTACGTTACTTATCAACAACTATTCAGAACTTCGTGGTCTCATGTGTTGCACCCTTGATGCTCTGCCACCTTCACAAGCTATAGTCATCTAAAGAGCAAGATACTACGATTAAAGGGTAGTAAAATTTTTTAGTGTAGGTGGGACAGATTAGCTCTGCTTTGCCCTTTTGTCCTTTGCTCTGTTCTCTATGAGTTTTCATGATGGTATATGACCTACAAATAGCAGCTTTCAGTGCAAGAAAACGTAACCTTTTAATTTAAATATACTTATATCATTAATCTTTTACTGGTATATAACAATTATTCAAAATCGGTTCTGTAGCTTCAGAGGTTACTTACATCCCACAAGCAAAATTACGAACTTTAACATAATCTCGTAGTAGTTTGACTAACGTAGAGCTCAAACAATTCCTACTCTCACCGTTCGCGTTAGCGTTATGCTAATTCTTGCTTAATTTATTTCACAGCAAAACTGAGCTGAACTACGACGAATGGTACGAGTTTCTCACCGACCTTTGCGATGCCAAAAACCTAGACCAGGAGTACGTGGAAACGGCAATGACCAACTGTGGAATACCAGGCTCCGCACCCGTCATCATCCCACAGTACAAAGACTTCTTTGACACCTACAAGCCTAAGGATAAAATGGTAGCTTTATAAACCACCTTAATAAGGGACTAGAGAACCCTAGCTAGAGAACAATTATTATTTAGGAAAAAAGTCCAGATCATGCAAAAAATTTGGACTTTTAATTTAACTGACTTCAAAGGGTTGTGTAGCTTACTGTGTAAGTGTAGGAACTTATTTATAAGTATTTTATTTTTTATCAATCTTTTGAATATGAGACATGTAAGAGTTGCAATTTTGTTTTTAATTTAGTTTAGCTCGTTCTTGTTGTGTTTTTTCAACTCTGGTTGAAATGATTTATTATAGTAAAATTCTATCATTATATGCTGGTAATTTTATTCTTGCGCACTGAAAGTATTATACTATTGTATTTGACGACCTCCGTGGCCGAGTGGTTTGTACGCCGGGTTTCATGGTGTCGCCGACTCGAGAGGTCCTGGGTTCAAATCCCGGTGGGTGCAGATGTTTGTGTGATGAATACGAGCATTTGTACTCCAGTCATTGATGTTTCATATGTATTTTCTATATAAATATACTTATATATGTATAATATATGTATTCTATCCGTTACTCTAGTATCCCATAACACAAGCCTTATAGTGCTTACTTTGGGGCTAGGCAAATTGGTGTGAGTGTTGGAAATATTTATTTATTTATTATTGTCATCTAACGTTAACACAGATCGTTGCAATTAAGTCAATAATAACTTGATAATTATATCATAACAAAAGGGAAGTGTTTAACATTGAACGAGACTGTTTTGCCAACAACAAATTGTGATGGCCGTGTTGGTACAGGTGTTGGGCACGGAAATTGTCAAAACGGAAAGGACAACACAACTTCAACTGTCGTAGAAAATAATAATAATATGAGTTTTGATTAAAAAAAAGTTACGGTACGAGCTAGGAGTGCTCTCCATAGAAATCTTGAAGTTAAATTTAAAATAGGTTTGTTTATCAGTTATTTTGCCTGACTGACTTAGGGTCGTATTACAGAATGACAACTAAGTGATGATCTATTATTGAGTACAGTTAGAAAGGGATGTCGCTATGTGCTATACTTAGCGACATCCCTTAATCAGTTCCCCTAACTTAATTAGGATGCGTTCCTATATTTTTACGGTAGCACAGAAAGTTCTGTGTACGGTAGCTGACTGAAACCCCATATTGACCCAAGATGAATTGCTTGAACTACTAATGAAAAGGGGAATTGAACTACATATTAAAAAATAAATATTATTTACAGAGCCCGTGAAAATAGTAGCAAATCAAATTGGTTACAGATACATCAAATTAATCTTGCTTAGACTTATTTGACACGCATCATTTGCAGAAACTGTTTTATTAATTTGACTGCGTTTCTTTTTTCTTGATTGGATATATATTAGGTTCTCAGAAACAAATTAGCTGATTTAAAAAAACTTAGTATGCAAGGACACACATCTTAAGTGAAACTTCTTTTCTTAAAGAACCAGCCATCGATTCGCTCAACCATATTTTAGTTTTTAGTAGAACGTAACGACCTGCTTTATACAACACCACCGAAGAGACTTAAGAGAGCATGACTACCCATAACCACCCATACTAACTAACTACAACATATATTTACTTAAAATTAAGGTCATTTATCTGTAGGACACTTCAAACAATAACAAAAGCAAAAGCAATGGAGAAATCACGACCACGCCGTTTTGCCATTCAAATTTTCTCTAAGTACACACGTAACTTTATATACAGCTTATAAATTCAATTATAGTACATATACATATTCTCGTATTGTCAACACATGATTCATAATATATATCATATAGAAATACCCGTTGGAATGGTTGGAACAGTTCAAACCCAAGCATTATTGTCTGTAATATAATCAAACACTTTATAATAGGCTTTCTTAACAAGTGATCTTTAAAGGTCGATTTAAATTTAATCAGGCTTAACTCTTGAATATTGCTTGGGACTTTGTTGTAAAAGCGAATACAAAGATCTCTAAACGAATTATTAATTTCGTGGGTTAAAGTTAGATAATTTAAACTTCTAGTAAGTATTAAGTGCACGTATTTCACTATTTTTAGTAAATAAATCAATATTTTTTTATATAGACTAAGTTGTCATATATGTATTGCGATGCAACTGTCAATATGCCTATTTCTTTTAACTTATCTCTTAAGGATTCCTTAACTTTGAGATTATAAATTGATCGAATACCCCCTCTTCTGCAACACAAATATAGTTTGAATATCGGCGGCATTTCCCCACAGTAAAATACCATAAGACATTTCACTATTAAAATAACTAAAGTAGACTAATCTGGCAGTATCTATACTATATCCGTTAATTGACGTTTTTTCATTACAACATAAGTTGCAGAACTAAGTCTCCCTGATAATCTATTAATATGTAGGCCCCATTGCAGCTTAGAATCTATTGTGTATCCTAATAATACTGTGGTATATACAAGGTTCATATGTCGATTCTTTATATTTACATTGGCTTTTACCTGTTTGACATTAGGTTAATTTCAAACACTTAGTTTTCCCTCAATTTAGCAGCAAATTATTTATAATAGGCATGCGTCTGATATATCAAAACGAATCCAAAATCCGATTTCAAACACAAATCGATACCGAACGATTTCTCAACAAGAAAATCCGATTTCAGAAATCTAACCGAACCAAAACGCTAGCGATCTAATACTACCACAAGTATCCATATGTAAATCGGATTCGAAATTCGTGCTTTCGTTTTCGGAAGTCCGATTTCGGTTTGCTGTTTACGGAAATCTATTGCTGTTCTCTAAGGCGGGATTATTTATCACTGAAAAGAGACGTCGTCTATAAACATCAAAAGTCGATTAACTTACATTTTTGAACGCTAACCTGAAGTAATTAGGTTTGATTTTGTAAATGGTTTGAAAAATAATAAAAACAAACAGAAAAATAAAAAAAAAATACTAAAAAAATATGTAAAAAGAAATCATTGTATATAAGCCGATTTTTAACCGTAAACATAACTTTTCTGCTACTCCTAAGCCTAGATTTAAAGCATGAAGGAAAATCGCGAGTATCCTTGTTTCCTACAATTAATTGTTTGTGATTGTCGTTAGCTAATAAAACCAAATCATAACACGAACTAGTGAATTGGCTAAGTTCGGCACATCTGAAATCGGATATCTAAAAACGGATTTTAAAATCGATTTTGAAATCTGAAATCCGATAAATATCCGTTTGCGTGCAAAACCACGAGTACCCCGTCCAGTAGTACCCCGAGATCCCTAACTACGTCGAGTCTGGTCAATAGTTTATCATCAATAGTGTAAGTGTTGTGTATAGGTCGTTTATTTTTCGTAAAAGATATAGCACATATTGATATATTTAGCGTCATGTTGTTATTTGAACACCAGTTAGACAAACGGTTGATGTCACTGTGCAATGAAAAAAAATAAATAAAACAATTTTTTATATCATCGGCATAGGCAAGGCAATTGCCTGAAATCAAGTTGACCAAATCGTTGATATACAATACAAACAACAGAGGTCCAAGGTTGGAGCCCTGTGGTACACCGGATCTAAGTGTAAACGGCACAGACTCGTATCCGTACACTATGACGATTTGAGTTGTTAAAAATAAAGTCTCAAACAAACGTAACACCAGTCAAATCGATTTATATGAAGTATTTGTTGAAGCATGGAATTCAAATCCCTAGAAAAAAATATGAAATCGATTGAATCAATGTAACGTCGTTGCAGTGCTGTTATTGGAAATATGGGATACGCCACTAAATATTAATTATAACTATTGGTAGACTGTGGATAGTAGCTATTTCTTAAACAACAATACTAATTACTATTACTTAAAAAATGTTTTTATACTTTTTTGTTGTTGTTTTTAATTAGTTGACCATTATTGTTCATACCTTAAAACTGATTTCAATCTAAAGAAAATATAACTAGAAAAAATTCCACGCGGACCAGGCAGCAGACGGGACTCGAACCCGCACCCTTCGCAATCCGGGCGAATGCACTGACCAATTATGCTACCGCGGCCCTCACGGACCGCGTCGAAATTCTTTCTAGCTATTCTTAAGCTGCAAGGCAGCGCCATCTTTTCGCATTATAGGTAAACCCACAATGTCAAATGAATACTTTTACAAGTATTAAACATTTGAAGAGGGTTCGAGTCCCGTCTGCTGCCTGGTCCGCGTGGAATTTTTTCTAGTTATATTTTCTTTAGATTTAAACATCAAGCAGTTACATGCTTTAAAAATAATAAAAATTATAACTATAATTGCTATTTCTTCTTTCAAATGTTTAATACTTGTAAAAGTATTCATTTGACATTGTGGGTTTACCTATAATGCGAAGAGATGGCGCTGCCTTGCAGCTTAAGAATAGCTAGAAAGAATTTCGACGCGGTCCGTGAGGGCCGCGGTAGCATAATTGGTCAGTGCATTCGCCCGGATTGCGAAGGGTGCGGGTTCGAGTCCCGTCTGCTGCCTGGTCCGCGTGGAATTTTTTCTAGTTATATTTTCTTTAGATTTAAACATCAAGCAGTTACATGCTTTAAAAATAATAAAAATTATAACTATAATTGCTATTTCTTCTTTCAAATGTTTAATACTTGTAAAAGTATTCATTTGACATTGTGGGTTTACCTATAATGCGAAGAGATGGCGCTGCCTTGCAGCTTAAGAATAGCTAGAAAGAATTTCGACGCGGTCCGTGAGGGCCGCGGTAGCATAATTGGTCAGTGCATTCGCCCGGATTGCGAAGGGTGCGGGTTCGAGTCCCGTCTGCTGCCTGGTCCGCGTGGAATTTTTTCTAGTTATATTTTCTTTAGATTTAAACATCAAGCAGTTACATGCTTTAAAAATAATAAAAATTATAACTGATTTCAATGTTTGTCCGTAATGTAATATTAAAACTGCACTTGTGTAATTTGATTTATATTGATTTTCTAATAAATGGTAAATCGTTGAACGAATTGTTGCCTTATAATGCCATGGACCGTTGGTAGTGTTTCTAATTATACCACCACCACTGTATATACTGGGTGTTCCAAGAAGTAACACTTTAAAAAAAAAATGATTGTGTTTTGTTTTTATAAAAACAAAATATTACGAAAGGTAGTAAAGATCGTTCAAAAGTTCAAAACCGCTCAAGTTGCTTATAGACTTTTTTGACGAGTATAATATATAAGTAGTATTTTAAAAGCTGAATATATTCGGAGAGACAGCTACATCAAGGAGTAAGAATATTTTTCAAAACTAGGATTAAAAAACTAACTTAAATTATTGTGTTAAAGAATTAGTATGAAAAAAGCTTATAAGTCTTCCAACGGATCCTTG